TTTATTCAATATATTCACCATTTCCTTATTAATTATTTTTAGCTCCACATTCGCATTCTCTAGAGAAGCAACACTCACTTACTGTTTTCCTTTTTCAATACCTAATGAAACTTTTGCTATCCACTTATACATTTCTAGCTAGTTTTCTCTTATAGTCTAATTTCTTTCTCTTGACTATTCACAGTATTCTGAAATATCTTCTTAGATAACTGTCATTAGGGACTTTTAGACATCTTTGGATCAATCTCCAGCCTTATATCTAAGTTCACTTCAGCTAGTTTTATTTTCATGATGAGATAGTAGCCCCTTTATTATTGTTAAAAATACCAGTCTTAGACTTAGTCTCTTTCAAATGTAAAATTCAATAATATTGTGCTTGCTGCTACCAAGAGGAGCCTTTATTCTGAGGCATTATTCCCCCTAATACTGTGCTCTTCTGGAAGTCCCATTGGTACAGAATCTATTTCCCCCAGTATTGTTTCTAGCCACCTCATGAACCACAACCCACTTCTCCCAAAAATCTGAATATTCATTTCTCTACTCTTATTCACTTGCTTCCAATTTGCACACTGCTCAGTTTAAGGCTCTGTTAACTATCCTAAACCCTAGCACTAGACAGACAACACAACCTGCCAGATTCGGTGTTTGCTTTAGAGAACAGTGTCAATCTCCTTCACTACACTGTCTCCTACCTCCATTGCATTCGCTTTTGTTCTTCCTTGCTTGAATGACTTCCAGTGGCACTGAGCTGTGGTCAGCTAGCTCATCCACCCTACAGCTCGCACTCTCATGCAAACAAGAACAATGCAAGAGGCAGTAGAAGGATGCTACAAGGGGGAAGGGACTTTGTGAAGGGAAGTGGGAAGAGACCTTCAATTGACCTCTGAAATGTCTTAGCAAGCCACTCAGTGTGAGCGATGGACAACAAATGCTGGCCTTGCCAGTGATGCCCATGAAAAAACAAATTGAAATATTTAAAAATTATTGGCATCTGGGAAGGTAATGCTTTCCTTGTGTTTTGTGCCTTTATGTTTAGTGGATAGCTGATAATTATTGAACATATTGATTAATTCTTCTAACTTATTTTTAAATTCTTCTAATTCTGCTCTATCTGAGTCCACATACTCTATATATCAGCACAAAGGAAGGTATTGTTAGTGCAACACTGCATCATATTGTAAATGAATGAGTAAATTATAAGGAAAAGCAAACCCCTGAAAAGGAATAATTTGCCTTAAGTCAAATTATTTGCCTTAAGGTCTTGCTGGTCCCCTGGAAAAACATGACCACTCTCCTCTTTTCCACTTACTGGACTAAGACCTCCAGCACAGCATCAGAGAACCTGGGAATTATTCTCTGACTTGTTGCTTCTTAGCTATTCTTATTCCTTCTAAGAACCATGTTTGGAGGCATTTCAACTACCTTTGCAACGATGCATTTAAGAGTTAATTGCAGACTATCTTTAAGACTTGCAGGGTAGCTGTAACTCATGTTAACCATACCCACACATGGGTCCCCCCACTTCATAGCCAATCAGTCATCAATCATCATCTTTGTTTTGGCCTATATGTTGCATTTTTTTCTAATGAGCAGGCTGCACAACCAGGTTGGGATATCCATGCCCATCAATTTGTACTATGTGATTTTTAACACTGAACATCTTTTTGAGAATTGTCCATCATCTGAGGCAAAACAAAAGGATAAAGACGCACTGAATAATTTATTGTAAGCTCAGCTTCTGGAGACCAAAATTGATACATTAAGAAATCTTGTTTCAGTAAATTTAATTTCATAATTATGAATTATAATTTAGGTGGAGGAATCAGGGAATACTGATCTGTTTTAAGGGAATCTTTGAACCAGAATTAATTTGAGAAAAACTGGGATACATTGGCCCTAGAGGATTATTAGTAATTTTTCAGCAGTCTGCAAAATAATTTTTCACATGAGTGAGAAAGCAAGAAAAACAGAAGGTAAAAGACACAAAAGTAAGGACAAGGCTGCCTGCTTTGTTTAAATTGACCAAAGGAAAGTATTCTTTATTTTGCCTTATCCACCAAATCAACAAATCAGAGATACTAAGCTGGCTAGCTATTCTCTCTCAAACATGCCGGCCACTTTAATACTGATATGCAATGATTTCCAGATCCTCATTTTTGACTAATTAAATTCACAAATGATCATACTGCACTGTCCTATATCTTTGACATAAATCAAAAAGCTAGTTCTCCTAATATTGCATTTTCTAGTTGTGCATTCAGCCCATGCTGAAGGCCTCTTAATAGATATCCTTTTTACAAAATGCTTATTTTAGGTAGTTCAATTACTTTTACTAAGTTGTCACGCTCTCCTTTCCAACAGCAGCCTTCTCACTTCAGTTGGCAGCATTTGGACTGATGGCACAGATTCTATATTTCCTTTTGAAAATCTAAAGTTACGTAAAACAAAAAAGAATAGCAATTTGGAGAAGTTGGTGAGTACTCAGTTGGAAACAAAAACTGAGAAAAACAGAGCAAGGCATTTGTTACATTTAACTGTAGTGTTCTGAGTGAAGTTTTGTGGCCCTGTAACATATGAGGCAGCATTATTGGGATCCCTGCTACGCTATCAATTGATGTTTGTTTCTCCCTGGCCCAAAATATATAAATTTTAAATAACATTTTGCATAAATTATACTTCATATCAACCTGATTTGATATTTGACCTGAGCTAAGAATAGGTGGCCAACATTCTGTTCCCTAGGGATGAAAGACTTTTTAAAAAAAAACTTCAAAAACTCTGCTGCCACTTTTATGACCAGTGTTCCACTCAGTGTTACTAGACAGTAGGTAACCAACCTGAAATATTAATGTTGTTTCTCTTTCCACAGTTGCTGCCGGACCTGCTGTGTATTTCCATCATTTTCTGTTTTTACTTTAGTTTCTCAATATCTGCATTGTTTAGGATTTATTTTCTCCACTGTACAGTGGATAAGCCTGTTAATGATTAAAATAACAGAAAGTCAGTAAGAGATGTTTAAAAAAGGATTTAGTATGACACGGAACATTTTTATGCTTCAAACAGGGTAAAGATCTCCTTGTCATAGATGGTTTAGGATAAAAACAAATTAAAAGAAATGCTTACAAAAAGCAAAACATTCCACAGTAATTGGCAAACGTAAACAATGTATTGAAAAGTAATGAGTAACAGAATAACTAATAAGGAATTATGGAAGGAAACTTACAATGGATATAATAATCAACATAACAATTCTTTCACAATTATATTAAGAAGACGACGGTGGTGAGGAGCAATGTGGGTCCTTTGACAATAATAGAGATGTTGACAATTTTAACAAGAAAAGACATAGTAAATATTTTGAAAACTAAATAAAAAACGAAAGAACTACAGATGCTACAAATCAGGAACAAAAACAGAAGTTGCTGGAAAAGCTCAGCAGGTCTGACAGCATCTATGAAGAAAAATCAGAGTTAACATTTCAGGTCCCAGTTCTGAGGAAGGGTCACCAGACCTGAAACGTTAACTCTGATTTTTCTTCACAAACGCTGCCAGACCTGGTGAGCTTTTCCAGCAACTTCCGTTTGTGTTCTTGATTTTGAAAACTAACTTTCCATCATTATTCACAGATGAGGAAGAGGTCGGCATACCAACATAGAATATTTGGGAAGATTTATGTCATCTGATCTTGTTCTCTGTAGCTTGATTGATTTCAACCACCCCAATTTGGCATTTAAAATTCACTTTGATTTAAACAAGATTTAACCCTTTAGGAAGACAGACCTCTTGGATATTAAACAAAAAGAATTTTATTAAAGAATGAGGTATACTTAACAATCAACAGTAGACTTTTACAACTTTACTTGGTTGATCAGGCTGAAGAAGTTTAATTCCTGAAGCTCCTTTGTTGACAGTAGTTTCTTCCAAAATTCTGCCTCGAGAGCTTTCAGCCATGTCTCGCAAACTATCCTTCAGCATTTTCACTTTTAACCCTGATCTCCCAGGTGCTTGCCATTTCAATAAACCATCAAATCAGGTTGCTATCATGCTAATATTTCTGTCCTGGGCTTGCTGCAATGTTCCAATGAAGCACATCGCAAGCTGAAGGAACAGTACCTCATTTTTGGCTTAAAAACTTGACAGCTTCAAGATCTCAATATTGAATTCCATAACTTCAGAAACTAACCTCATTATGTCTATTCTCCATTTTGCTTAAATTATGTTCCCCAAAGCCTTCTTCAGTTGTGTCTTATTTACTTTCTTCTTGGGAGAGAGGCCTCTCCCTTTCAAACCTTAATCTACACCCATTTTGCATCTCTATTTCTTTTACACCACCATTTACCTCCTTTGTCTTTTGCACTGGGACTCTACACCATTTGCTTCCTTGTTCCTCCTCCACCTCTGTCAAAAGTATACTTAAAAAAACATTTTCAACCATCTTTTAGTTCTGAAGAGGAGTCATAGTGGACTCAAAACATTAAATCTGTTTTCTCTCCACACATGCTGCTTGACCTGCTGAGTTTCTCCAGCATTCTCTGTGTTGTACTTGCAACATTGATAGGTTGACTTTAATGTCTGATAAACTTCCGGAAGATTACTGCTAAGTCCAAACACGTGATTATGACAACCGAAAGAACTGCGGATGCTGTAAATCAGGAACAAAAACAAAGTTGCTGGAAAAGCTCAGCAGGTCTAGCAGCATCTGTGAAGGAAAAAACAGAGTTAACGTTTCAGGTCCAGTGACCCTTCCTCAGTACTGGAGAAAGGGTCCCCGGACCCGGAACGTTATCTCTGATTTTTTCTTCACAGATGCTGCTGAACTTGCTGAGCTTTTCCAGCAACTTTGTTTTTGGACATGATCGTGACAACTGGCTTTGTTGGACCATTTAATGTGCTTTTAAAACTGTCATTTAATACACACATATTAAAGTTGCTTTTTAATCTGTTCATGACATGCTTCCTGATGCTGAATTAATGCAACCTATCTGCAAATATCTCTACAGATGCGGATCAAAAATTACCACGAAGCTTTATGTGATTATAGAATGGACAACTTGCTGCAGGCCCTGCACCATGAAAACGGGACTGGATACTTCTTCACTTCTTTTTGCAAACAAACAGGAAATCTGGTAATCAAAATATGTATATTGTGTTGTTTTTTTTTTATTCTTTAACTGGTTTGAAAATAAAATTGCCACGTGATATCCAATTCAAAGCGAAAGTGATTCTTTTCCAAGCTAGCAGGTTTGCTGGGCTTAATGTTGCCAAGACTGTTCTTTGTAACTCAAGTGAACTTCAGTGCTACTTTTTGTATGCTTCTAATTTTACATATCATTTTATTGAGAAATGTTGGCCACATCTTGATTAATATTTCCATTGTCAGAATAGATATTTTTTATAGGATTATACAGACATCGTTGGTCATTCTGAGTTTGGTCAACGTTTTCATTGTCATTTGTTGAACAAGTGCTTCAGGTGAATTTTAAGCATTGTACTTTCATGACCACATTTATCCAATTATGTTGACCACACAATAAGAATATCTAAACATTTGGGCAGTATACACAAGGAAGCCCAAGTTGATATAAATGTTGGCCAGCCAGTGATGCTCTAGTCCCACGAATGAATAATAAAAAAAAATAATTTGCTAAGCTAAGGATAAGTTGAAGAATATAGAGTTAGTTACTCTAGCACTTAAAAACAATGGCAAACCATTCAGTTTCTCAGTCTGATTCACCATTCAGATAGATCGTTGGTGATCTAGACACTAACACTGTCTTAGCTTCACACTGTTTAGCACCCTCTCCAAAGAAAAAATCTGTTGGTCTTAGTTTTCAAATTTTCAGGATCCAAATTCTTTCGACGAAGAGAGCTTTTTGCTTTCTGATTTCATTTTCAAACAGCCTAGCTTTACTCAAGAACTATACTGGGTCAGTAAAAGATGCTGAGGGACAGGTCAGAAAAGACCCTTAGGGTGTGATTATATTATACTAAATGACTAGTTTGCACTCGTCTTTATTCTTTAAAATGGTGTTCAAATAAACTTATTAATATTTAGGAAGATGTACCACCAGTACGTATTATGACCACACCACAATACAAAGAGTTAGTGAGAAGTGCAAGCTCATCCCTTGTTTGTGTACTCATGGAGTGAGGAACTGTTCCCTCAGACTGGAAGGATTTTCACACAGTTTAAAATTTCAAGCAGGTGATAACACAGAAATTGGTTTGATTTGTTTTGATTTATTTATTGTCACCTGTATTTATTACAAATACAGTGAAAAGTGTTGTTTAGTGTTGCCACTTTACGGTGCCATCATAAAACACAGAAAATACACCAAAACACAGTATAAACCCAGAAAAACAAAACAATAAAGTTCACCTTAATGTCTGATATCAAGAAAGTTAGGGGTTTTTTTTGAAACAGTTCCCACTTCTAGCTCATCCATGGGCCTGGATCTGGGCTCCTCCACCACAATGCCTTGAGTCCCTGCTGCTAAACTGACAATATTGCTGCAAGATAACAAGGTGCAGGGCTGGATGAACACAGCAGGCCAAGCAGCATCATAGGAGCAGAGAGGCTGACGTTTCGGGCCTAGACCCAAAAGCACTTTGCTGCACTGCCACCGGAACTAAGAGCCACCCACTCTCCGGTGCCATCTCACCTCCACCCAACGCTGCTGCTGCCATGAGTTCACACTGGGTCGATCCCATCAATGCAACGACAACCGGTGCCGCAGGATCCTCTGCTGTGACCGCACACGCCACCATCTCTACCTCCGCCATCAGGCACCCAGGCCTAGCCACTGACCTGGATCCTCCGCTCAGCTTTGCGAGTCCGGTCCGGCCCGGTGTGGGGGTGGTGGGAATAAGCCTGGGACTGCTCCTCACTCGCTGGGAGACTCAGGCTGGGGTCCACCTCGTCCCGGCATTGGTGCTGCTGGACGCCTCCTCCTTCAAATACTTATTCTGCCTCGCCGCTCCCAGGTCCGCGCTGACAATTTCATCCATCATTCTGCGTAGGACCCACTCTCAGTCTGATTCACCATGCCACTGCAACCAAGGTGAAAAGATAAGAGAAAAGACTTTAAAGAAAAAGAGAAGCAAAGGTAAAACAGGAAAGCAAATAGAAGTGGATGAGTCCTGGGCTCAGTAGGCGGAACCCTGCTACTTGGCACCACTGTCTTGCGGGTGTCTATTGATCCATTTATTGGGTCAGATGTTATTGGTGTTATTGCACTTTTCAGAAATGGTGCAACCATTCATCAATTCTAAATTACTTTTCTTAAAGAGAACACCATATATGTTCAATATTTTGATGGAAACTGTGTGAGCAAAGTTTATATTTCTTGAGGTAGGACCCTGACTGAAAACAGAGACTGAGACAGGAAACCAAAAAGATAGACGGATAAAGGAAACTGACCTTCTTTGTTTCTATGGAAACAAACACTGAAAGTGCAAATAGAATCTCTCATTTTAAACTCTACGTGTGGCAATTGAGCATGTTAGAAGTTGTCACCTTGACTTACGCCCAAAACGGGTTTTCAGCTCACTATTATGTCAGTCAGTTATTGGGTGAGTTGATTGGCCAATCTAAAGGAAGTTCTCACGCCATGCCAGGACCTTCTGAGACCAAAGATACAGGCACCATAATTAAAGGTCTCCTGGACAGTCCTTCACTCACTGCAAACCACAGCATCTCTGGAGCCTGTGTTGCTCATCCCCATCCTTCCTGATGTCTCAGATCAGACAGAAACTGGCCCCAAAGTTCAGTTATACCTCACTAGGGATTCTGGTGCAGTCCACCCATGAAAGCAGCGAGATTCACTTCTCAGTGAAGACAGCAGGATGCCCCATTTGACCCTGGAGGCCTGAGGTAAAATCACTGCACAGGTCTGTGCTGGTGACACGTACAGAAAAACCCAGATCCTGTGTGGGAAGAGAGTCAACAATCTCCTGAATTTCTCAAGGATACATGGCATCATCTACTCACTGCAAACTGACTCATAGGAAGATCATTCAGTCTAACTGTGCCAGTACACAGGAATGTCACATGGTATGATCACCTGCAAGCCTCAGCAAACATTACAATGTACACTGAAAAGCTAACAGCCACTTCACACATTCAATATTTGACCAGTTCATGAGCAATGTGCTTCCCATTCACTCAGTGAGGAGGGCTCAGGAACTGGCATGGCTATGGATGCCTTTAAAATGCCGGTGCAGTTATTACATCATTCTCAATCCTCTTTCTCAGTTGCTGAACAAGCTGGGCCCAGAACAGGAAGTAGCAGGCACAGACCAGCGGAGGAGTGTGGGTATACAGATCCTCAGCCCATGTGAGGAGCAGGCCACAGAGCTCGCAGGGGAAGACTGAAACTCTTCCTGAGCCACCGAGGTGATAGGAATGTCTCAAGAAGCGAGTGAGGATACTTTCATGAGAAGATTGAAGGCCACATTTAAGACCCAGATGCAGCATAACACACAGAGGCTGACAGGTACATGTGCTGATCTGGAATCCATAGCTGTAGCCTATGTCAGCAGTAAAGCAAGAGAGGAAGCAATGCACCTCAAACTTAATGCAGGTACCCCTTCGCCTCAAGGAGGCAGAAAAGTGCCATAAGCACCCACAGAGAAATGGAGCTACCCTGGGAACTACATCTCACGAGACTCCAGAGGTTCTGTGCCTCCCTCCCCTTGTCACCTCATTGGCTACAGCTGATCAAGCCAAGAAAGGTGCAATGCACCTATATCTTTGCAGCAGACTGTAACCCTGCCCAATCCTCCAGAGGACACTTGCCAAAGTAACCAAGGTGTAGCTGTCAGTAAGTTGCCTCCTCCTCAGGCATGAATGTTAGGGTAGCATCTCGCCATCATGCTAGGCAAATAAAGCAGAAGACATTTGAAGGCAGATGGGTGTCAAGAGTATTTGATACATATATCCAGTTTGTACTTCTGTAAATATATATTCACTTGCCCTGTTGTTTCATTATTTCACTTGGTACTGACATGGTTATCTGAACTGAAAAGAGTGGAACATCTCCCCCATCAGAATGACACATTTTTATTGCTTCACATTGTCAGTAATGTATGTGCCTGAAGTTGTACTCAAGAACCAGGAAAACACATATCAAGCATATGAAAGGGTTTTTGTGGCACAGTGCTAGTGTCCCTATCCCTGGGCCAGGAGGCCTGGGTTCAAGTCCCAGCTGTTTCAGAGGTGTGTCAGAACATCCCTGAGCAGGTTGATTAGAAAATATTTAGACCAAGCATTTCAGACTTACACTCAATCTCAAGATTATTTCCAGGGACAAAAACAGAAATTGCTGGAAAAGCTCAGCAGATCTGGCAGCATCTGTGAGAGAAATAAGAGATAGTATTTTGAGTCCAGTGACCCTTCCTCAGAATGTTCAGTGATATGTTGTCAAATATCTGAGGGGACAGATTTCATGTTTGGGTGAAAGTTAATTGGGAGCAATCACTTAATTCCAGCTAGTTCTGTTTTTAAGGAGATGCTAATGCATGCAGATAAGCTTCCTGAAAACTGCAGCCAGAGAGGTGGTCTCCCTTTAAGATTGGAGAACATCCTTTCAAAACATTATCCTACCGGCAGAAATCTTACTTATGAACTCTTGCTCAACTGAGTTCAACCACCTCCACTGGGACAGAAAGATTTTACTGGGTTGGAAATGAAAACTGTCTGAGCTGGAAATGCAGCAGTGGAGACTAAGCAGTAACTTGGTGTATTTGAGAGAGTTGCTCCTTAATGATGTGCTGTTCCAGGTTCTATTCCCAGCTTCAGTTGGTCCTGAGTTTGATTGTAACATAATTAATTATCCTTCAAAGGCTGGTGGACATTTCTTGTATATTCCTTGCTTTCTTAAGCAACATGACTGCATTGTTTTCAGTTAATTTTTTACCTTTTTTGTAGAATTCATTAATTATCATTGTGAACCTGTTTCAGACATCAATAGCTATGCAGATTGGTAGACTGGATAAATAGATAAAGTCACCAGAGCACAAGGCTCGTCTCTCATTAGAGAGAGATTCCTGGTGGTGGTTTAACCACTCCTGAAGAGAGGTTGAGAAATCTTTCATTGTAACCTCAGCTGGTGTAGGAATTAAACCCACACTGTTGGTGTCAATCTGTGTCACAAACCAGCTCTCCAGTCAACTGAGCTAAACCAACTCCCTTGGTAGATTGAACAGAAACGGAAATAAGCATCTTTATGTAGAATATGAAATCATTTTTTTCTCACTCTCTTGCAGTTATGGCGGAATAGTATCAACGTGTGGTTTGACCTGAAAGAGTATCAACAACTTTTTTATGCAGAAGTCTTTCAACCTTTCAAACTCAGGAGACAAGCTCAGGCAAGATATGAAATTAAGAGTATTAAAATAATTAACAAAACTTGGCGATCCCTATCTGGATGGAGGGCTGAGGGCTTACTTAAAGTGTGTTTTGGGGTTGTAAATGGGAAAGGTAAGAGAAGGGAGAAAATGTGACAAAATTAAGATATTTTTGGCTTTTATTCAGTAAATGTAGTGGGCTGCACTGGAAGCAATTTTTAAAAGACTCTGGGGGCACATGTACACTTCATCTGTCTGTTAGGTGTTAACAAACAGGACCAAGCTATGTCCAGTTCAGATGCTTGAAACAGGTTTAATTTTAGTACAATGTTGCAAGTTTCATTAGTCACAGGCAAGAGATAAGAATTCAAGTTAAACCATTCTAGAATGTAAGTCGAATGTAAATCAATATAGAAATATTAAAAAATCACTGTGGTATTGTTGTTTTTAGTCTAAAGTTTTCTGAGAACAGTGTGTTATTGAGATAAAGGGGTACATTTTATCTCAGTGGTATGGGACAAGTGATGATCTTCCTGGAAAACAGTCTTTTGCAGACACCGTTGCCCAGACATTTGGAGAAAGTTCATCCTTGGGTGATATGTTATGTCTAGGGGATATGACCTTTTCTGTACTGTGATCCTTTGCCCACCCTGAGCCTGGTCCACTTGTGGATGGAGATTGGCAATGGGACCCTGCAGCTGGACCAGCCTCCCTCATACCCAATAAAGACCACAGGTCTAGGTGAAAAAGGCCATTGCAAGTAGCCTCTCTTGACATCCTAGGCCTGCTGCCAGGATTTCTCCCAAACCTGCACCAAATTCTCTCTGCAAGGAAAGTGCCATTGCCTCAATATGATCCTGGAATCAAGAACACATCCTCATGTTACCATCTCTCCTCTTCTGGTCATGCACTTGGCATTCCACCCTTGGCTGTCACTACTTGTTGCCTCGCCCAATGGTCTTTTTTGTTTCACTATAGCATTGCTTCACTAGGCTGAGGTCCAAAACCCTGTGGTTCCTGTGTGCCATTGATAAAATCCAAATAATCCTGAATGATTTTAGTTAACTGGCCTTTTAAGTGCCTCAATTAGTGTCCTTCCACCTCTATGACAGAGGTCTGCCCACCATGGTTCCCACTACCGGTAAACTCCAAGGTGTGTGTGTGTGTGTGTGTGTGTATGTGTAATAGATACACACATTTTGGTCTTTTCAGGAAGCAAGGGACGTGTAGTTGAAGATCAGATGAATAGCACTAAACACTCAGTAGGTTGTATGGTCCACCCCTGCTTCCATTTCTTATATTCTTAGGTTCTCTATCACTTGGGAATGTGTATTATAATCCAGAGAGCAAGCTGGTGAAGTAAACATGACCTGATGAAGAGTCATCTAGCCTGGAAACGTTAGCTTGCTTTCTCTCCATGAATGCTGCCTGACTGACTGTGATCTCCAGCATTTTATTTTTTTTATAATGTATCAGGTTTACCTTTCTCTCCCTCAGGCTTCAACAGCTCAACTATTTCTGCCTTGCTCATGCCAAATTTTAAATTTATTTCCAACTTTTCTGCAACTGCTTCTAAATTTAACTTTGTTAACTACTGGAAGACATTCAAAGTCAATCCTTTTGTGGAAAGCTTTCACAATCAACGCTGACATTTTTAACTTTTGTATGAATATATCAAAAGCCACTGCTTTCTTTATGTATGTGACTTACACTTTACATTACAGAAATCAGTGATCCCTTTTATTTTTAACATATGTCACACTCTCCACATGATTATGGTTTTTATGACTAACTGCCTTCAGTCGTTCCTGGATTACAATCAGTTGCTGCTGTTTTAATTTCCATGGTGGGTAATTTCTAATCTGGGTCTTTCATGGTGAGGGATATTCTTTGCCTCTAGCCAAAAGTGTGGCACATCTTCCAGACTCCTTTGAATCCTCACAAGCTCAGTCATTTCCATCTGAGTTCAAACTTCTATCGATGTTTTGTGTTATGAGCAATGGAGTCAGAATTTTTTCTTCTTCAGGTACAATAGCTGCCTCTAATACCTCTCTCTAACACTCAGATAGCTGCAGAATACAATGAAAAACTGTCTTCCTGTGATAAGAGCAAATTACTGCAGATGCTGGAATCTGAACTAAAAACAAAAAATGCTGGAGATCACAGCAGGTTAGGCAGCATCTACAGAGAGAGAGCAAGCTGACGTTTTAAGTCTAGATAACTCTTCATCAGAGCTGAAGTGAAGTGTGGAGGGGGCAGCATCCGACCTATCACCCTTGCCCCTTCCCATTACTCACAACAGCTTGATTGGGTCCCCCTTGTCCTCACTTTGCACCCTACCAGCCTCCACATTCAAAGGATCATTTGCCGTCATTTCAGACAACTCCAGCAGAACGTCACCACCAAATACATCTTGCCCTCACACCCCCGTCTGCATTTCACAGGGATCATTCCCTCCGGGATACACTAGTCCATTCCTCGACCACCAACACCACCCCACCTACCCACGGCATCTTCCCATGTAACTGCAGAAAGTGCAAAACCTGCCCCTTCACCTCCTCCCTACTCACCATCCAAGGGCCTAAACAGTCTTTCCAGGTGAAACAGCATTTCACCTGTACCTCCTCCAATCTTATGTATTGTATTTTCTACGCCCAATGTGGCCTACTCTACATTGGAGAAACCAAACGCAGACTGGGTGACTGCTTTCAGAACACCTCTGGCCTGTGTGCAAGCATGACCCTGACCTTCCCACAGCCAGTCATTTTAACACAGCATCAAAAACAGAAGTCGCTGGAAAAGCTCAGCAGTTCTGGCAACATCTGTGAAGTAAAAATCAGAGTTAACATTTCCTCAGAAGGAAGAACAGTCACTGGACCCGAAACGTTAAATCTGATTTTTCCTTCACAGATGCTGCCAGACCTGCTGAGCTTTTCCAGCAACTTCTGTTTTTGATCCTGATTTACAGCATCCGCAGTTCTTTCAGTTTTTATTTTAACACAGCGTCCTGCTCTCATGCCCACTTGTCTGTCCTCGGCATGCAGCAATACTCCAGTGAATCACAACGAAAACTGCAGGAGCAAGATCTAATCTTCAAACTGGGCACTTTACAACCTTCTGGACTCAATATTGAGTTGAACAGCTTCAAATTGTGAACTCATTCCTTCCCTTTCATTTAGCGTTACTTGTTACATTCTCTGTCACCATGTCCCCTTTCCCCTCTCCCCACTCCAATGGGACTGTCTGATCATCCCAGTCTGGCAGTTAGACACACCATTGTTCTGCCACTCTCACATTCCAATCACTTAATCTGAACTAATCAACATCCTACCCTTTCCTCCCCACTGTAGCATAAATGCTGCCAGCTCTGCATTTCACTTCAACTCTGATGAAGAGTAATCTACACTCGAAAGATTAGCTTGCATTCTCACCATGGATGCTGCCTGACTCTCTGTGATGCATTTTTTGTTTTCAGTTCCTGTGATAAAGATTTGCAGGAAAACCTGTAATCTGACCTCACATAAGAGATAACAAGGTGCAGAGATAGTAGGAACTGCAGATGCTGGAGAATCCGAGACAACAAGGTGCAAAGCTGGATGAACACAGCAGGCCAAGTAGCATCAGAGGAGCAGGAAAGCTGACGTTTCGGGCCTAGACACTTTTTCAGAA